TCGGCTGTCATTGTCTGTGTTAAAAACACCTCAGAAAATTCCTATTTTCTCACCTTTCCATCCTTGGTTTATATTGAAAATAAATAAATTCTAGTACCATATGTCCTTTTAAATATATTTGAGGTAATTAAAAACTCCAAAGATGAACAAGCACTGTGTTTTGGCTTGCACATTTTGTTGAATTTGAACACTTAGTTACTGTTCTAAATTTCGTGTTGTAAATATCTTGCCCAAAAAAAGCAAATGAGTATTTTTTATAATTTTTGATCGTTTTCTAATTCATATCCCAAAAGATGAAAATTGGTTATAATATAGATATGTACTAATTTAGTAAATTTTTTTTTTTTTGGTTTTTATATAAATTTATGGAGATATTGCCCCTTTAGGTGATGAGTGACATGAAAAACAAAGTGTCACTGCTTTACAAATAAAAATTCTCATTGAAAAAACTAATGATATATGTAGGTATGCAAAGTCATTTAAACTACATTTGGTCAATCATATATCACTAATGTTTGGTTGAAAAGATCAGATTTTTTTATGCAACTGTTTCTGAGATATTGCCATTTTGGTGAAAGCTCTTGAATTCAATCACATATTCGCCATATTGCTTGCGCCTTAGGGGGGTAGAAACAGTGTAACAGCTTGCCGCTATCTGGCCCACTAGTCACAAATGGGGCCTGTTCTTATGACCTGGCTAGGCAGGAGACAACATTTGCCAGTATTGCCGATATACTATCCTGCTACTATCCTGGCTAAGCACAAGGTATCCGTTGCCAGAATCCCAACTATGCAAGCCAACAAATTCACCATTTACAGTAAACATTCTATCCCACAACCAGGCAATATGAACTTGCCTTTAGGGTCCCATGCTGCCTAGCCCAGATCATATCAACAGACCCTTAGTAGATCCTGAAACTACAATTGGAACATTTTAGGCCATAATCTTGTAGAATCAACCAGGTATTGTCAGTAGTATAATATCACACTGGGCATGCAAGCTGGTCTTGCCCATTTATATGGGCTAAATATACACCTGCCCATGGTAAGATACTGCCTCCTATATTAATTTTATATATGTTTGAGATTGCATTCACATGAAACAGCCTGGTTGAATTTATGCACTAGTCAATTGAAACCCCGGCCCCCCGACCCCCGGGAAAGAGCGGGGAAATTCACATTTTGACAATGTTAAACTCTGGTAATTTCCCCACCACCGGGGGAATATTGACTGTTAACGTTACCGCCCCTATGGCCCGGCACTTTGCAAATTTTTATGACTTGGGAAATCGTTGAAGTATAAAATGTTCACAACATGTGAAGGCAATTCTTGATCTTAAACTTTGATCCGCATCAAAAGATACTGAATAATCTACGTTTCGACTATTTTGCAGTCATCATCAGGAAAGTGAAAATTATGAGGAAAGAAAAACTATGAGGAAACAATGATAAAACGGACAAAAGTTTATAAAATATCTTCTCTGACTTCGAAGATTCCGCCATGTTGCCACGACGATAAACACATTCCAGTCCACTTTCGTATCAGCCGCACGTTAAAGTCCCGGCTAATAAATTGACTTGTTATTTCCCCTGTACCCCGGGGGAAATGGTGCATTAAACCCGTGTTAATCCACGGCCATTCCCCCGTTAATTCCCCACCCTGTCCCGGGGGTCGGGGTTTCAATTGACTAGTGCATTATTGGCCCAGCATTTGCTTGAGCAAGTTGATATCCTGAATTGGGAGTCTCACACTAATAAAGGTCATAAGCTGGCCAACCAGCTCACTCGACTAAAAATCATGTTATAATACACAATTTGGCCCAAGTAAGTAAGAAATTGATTAATATAAGCCTTCTGAAGCTGTTGTCATTAACAAATTAACCAGCATTTCACACAAATTTCTTGACAACAGTTGCCAGGTTAGCCTGGCTCCTGTGAGGCAAATGATAAACTAGCCCTGAAAAGAAAATCCAGCCATGTTTGCTGGGCTAGCATGGCCCATTTTGACAGCCCTTAACAGGGAGAGCTTATTTTTGGAAGGGAGATCTGATTTTTGGAAGGGAGGCCTATTTGTGAGGTTACTGGGGGCTTAATATTGGATTGCATTATATAATATGTGTAAAATATTCATTTCTGCACACTCAGGTATTCTGGTAATGCACAAATTTATGGACTAAAATGTTTCAATTATAGTAGATCGGGATCTATTGGGGACCTGTTTATATGATCTAGACTATCCAGAACACATGCTTGAAGCCTAATTCATGTTGCCTGTTTGGTATACAGTGCTTCTTGATCCTTATTGTATATGGTGAATTTCTTGGCTTACATATAGCCAGGATTCTGGCAATGGAAACCTCACGCTTAGCTAGGCCGATAGTAGCAGGATAGGATAGAACATACTGGCAAATGTCGTCTCCCACCTAGCCAGGTAATATGAACAGGGCCCAATTGTGACAAGTGAGCCAGATGAAGTAAAAAAACAATGAAGTTCATATACAGGTATATATCCATAAATTTTGATACTGAACAGCAACATTGAACAAAATCATTCTGTCCCAATGTCATCCATCTTCCTTAAGTTTAGGACTCTGAGACCAATGAATATATTGTCAATCAAGGATTAAAACCAATGAAGACAAGTGTTATTGTCAAACAAACGAAAATATTCATGTCCACAGGGTGCAACACGCAATGTTGACACATTATTTTGAAGTCGACTAAGCTCGACTAAATGTCGAAATCGACGAAAAACGAGCCAAAAAACAGTTATTGAGCTAATCAATCAAATAAATACTTGGCATAAGTTTGAAGGTCCATAGTCCAAATATTTGATGAGCTTCTTTATCCCATTTATACCAACAAAATTTTAAAAATTCCCTGTATTTAGATATTCGCCATATTGATCGCCACGCTGTTTGGCAAGAAATCGACATGTCAACTTGTCCCGGGCCGGAAATGTCCTGTTTACTTGTTACACAGGATATTAATAAGTTAATGTGAAAATATGAAGATAAAAGTATCTTTTAAAAAATAAAACGTCTCAAACCTCGATTTGAAAGGCTTTTAAAAACGCTAATCCGTTCGGAACCTACAAATTCAAGGGGTGGTATTTAAGCTTGCGCAAGGCAAAGTTTGAAGACCCATATCTTCGCAATCACGCAATTAATCAAAAATCGCCACGAGGAAGTTGAGGAGAATTCTTTTAAGAACAACATATATGAATTTCATGGCAAAAAAACAAAAAACCGCTTGCAGCAAAGCTCTGAAGTAACCCCATATGTTTGTTTACAAATTTCATGTGATGAAGCGTTTTACGCATTCTGATTGGCTTAGGGCAAAAATGTAAACAAAAGCGCTGATTGGTCGAGAACGAAATTCCCCCTTGTTCAGGGTCGCAGGCTCGATTCCTGCAGATGGCCTATGGTTGCATCAGTATCGCAGCTGATCCTGGTTTGGTCTAGCCCTCGTTCCCAGGCTCTCTCCTCCTAGGAGAGGAAAGAGCCTGAGTAGAGGAAAGTGCCTGAAAACGAGGTTGGTTATGTCTAAAATAGCATGCGAGCAGTGATATCTAAAAATGTATAAAATTTACACTCGAAATTGGCACTCGTGTAAACCCAAAATATTTCAAATAGAGCAAAGAAATTTAAGCGAAAAGTATTCGACTTTACTGTTTTGAGAGCTGAGATGTTCGATTTGCAAGCGGTACAAAAAGGTAACGGCGTTTGTGTTCACACGAAGCCGCCAAGCGCTCCGTTTTCATCTCGCTCCGTTTAGAAACCGTGCTCAAATGATTACGGCAATTTCGCTTCGGCGTTTTCAAACCACTCCGGCGTGGTCTAAAATAATGGGATAAAGTTCCACGTAGGGATAAGCAATGTTTTTATCTTATCTGTGACTGTTTATCTTTATGTGCAAGTGACCGGCGTCACAGTGCATACTGTCACCCCAAAAGTGTCCCCCGGACACTATCCACTAGTGGATAATGTCCCCGCTTGCGTATTCTGTCCCCCTCGCAAACTATGCGATTACGTTCATAGAATGAGACGTTTTACGAAAGGAGTGTGGGCAACGCTTTTTTAAGTTTTTCGTAACAGTTTGTTTAACTTGGAAACTTGGAATGCTTGTAATTAAAACCAATTCTGTTTACAACAACAGAAGCATTTTAAATTATTCAATCCTTTTTATTATTGCATTAATCCTACTGTTATTGAAAACAAAGTCAAAGAAATGTCTTGGAAGATGCAAAGGGCCGCGGGAGTGCGGGATAAGTGATTGGGATGGCTCGGAGGTCATTTTAGCAAAATTGATCCGTCATTGATTTTGGTTTTGCTCACATTTTTCCTGTTCCATGCCAGGACAAAGTGAAGACGAACCACTTCCCCGGATGACCCCTCCACCAAAAAGATATTTTCTGTTGTAATACAAGAGCCCAAGTTCAATTGGCTGATTTAGAATCTACACGGTTTCAAAGACTAAAACTATCAGTTGCGTTTATTCATAGACATAGTTTATATATATAAAAGAGCCATATATGTTGTAATTCCTTGCGTGTGTGATTGAGTGTATTCATTCAAAAATATATGGGAAGGCCTGATACTTTTGTACCTGATGCAACGATGACTTAAAAAAAATGCGATTTTCCTCTCAAGTGCATGGCTATTAATTTCGCAGCCTGATTTTGTTTTAGACTTTAGTCACTGCTTTGTATTTTTTAGTACTGAAACATGGTATGCACGTTATTCTTGAAATTCAAGAATGATTATTTAGCAGAATAAGACAACATTAAAGCAGAATTTGTTAAAAAGTCTGAGCATTTTTCGTTCACTACATATGGGGGGACACTCTCCGCGGAAATGTAATTAAAGAGGACACTAACCTCTGTGACACTGGCGGTGTAAAATTGTTATAGTATTCCTTTAATGAACGTCCTGTTTTGTAGTGGTTTCATGGTATAAATGCAAGGAATTTACTGTATTTTGGTTTGTTTGTTGTTTTAGGCATTAATTATAGAAACGACTGTCCTGTGGAACCTTTTATACCAATATATCTTATAGTTGCTGGTTCTTGTGGTCTTTTAAAAGCAATTATTTTAACTTGTGAAAAATTAAAGAATCCTGAAACTGACGAAGAACAGAACACGGACGAATTTTCATCATATGAAGACATATCAAATACTAGTAAATTTATGGATGGTATTCTGAATATTTTTATGTTCACGTGGTTTATAGCTGGGAATGTGTGGGTTTATACACACTATAAACCTAACGCGAAACCGCCATTACACGATCCATTGAACTATTGTGAACCCACGGTGTACTGGTTTGCGTTTTGGATTGTAACTGTCAGTTATGTCATAATGGGAACAATATTTTTTTGCATATGCTGTTTAGGAGCATGTGCAAGCTGTACAGCGCTTTTTGTAACAAAAACTTGAAGTTTGGAAGAGAATTTTATATGGTATTGACTACTGTATGGTGTCACGACTGAATGCTATATATAATTAACTGGATTAATTAATAACTGGAGTAATATCTTTAATCTTTAGTAATGTCCCAAGTTTCCCTCAAATTGGCTTCATTTTTGATAGTACGTACGTGTCTATCCAGTCTGCTATGCGATCTGTTTGAAACTCATTCTTAATCGCTTCAAGCCATGATCTCATTATAGACTATCAGATAGACTCAATTGAAACTGATCTTATTACAGACTGAATAGACCATGTCAAAAATGAAGCCAGTTCGAGCGAGAGTTGGAGCAAGTCTAAAGATCCAGTGATCGAAATATTTCATTGTCTTTTCACTGCTTTTCACAATCCTGTCACTCATTGTTTGACATATTTGTGACGTTATGCCAAGGGCTGTTCTTGCCCAGACCGTTGAGAAGTCTGTACAAATACACAGCTGTAGAGAAGATTAACAACATGTTATTAAAATTGCATTTTCGAAATACACTACGTCAGGGTGTTAGCCAGGATTTCAAAAGTGGCCGTCCAAAATAATTTTGTGGGCGTGGTCACATGTTTTTTGGTGTGGCCGCAATTTTTTGGTGTCGAATTGTGGTGTTCTATTCGTATGAACCTTTTTACATTTCAGTTATTAAATTAGTAAAAGCACACGTATGGTATGAACCGTATCACTACGATGTACAGTATATGCTATAATGAAGAACACAATACAGCAGTGTAGTGTTTAGTTATTTTTTTATCAATCACCGATATTTTTCTCTTTTTTTATGCGTTTGGCTCATTTTATAGCCATTTTTACCGTAACTGTAACTATAAAGCACATGGCGCTCGAGCGATAAAGCGATTGCTGTTTTTTAAAACGGCGGTTTCAAATTATTCTCCTTGATACTTCATGCGAGAATCATCAACATGGTAACAAAAACATGGCGCGTTTGTCGGTACTTCAATTCAGCCATATTCAACGTGTTTTCGAGTGGAAAAGTATGAAAACATACACCATAAGTAAATTAAACAACAGATGACAAGAATTCGAAGTATTCAAGAAATATTACAAAGCTTGTAAATTGCTATTTAAATAAAATACTCCCTTACGCCGTCCATGGCCGTCCATTAAAATTTAGCCGTCCGAATTCAGAAGTGGCCGTCCGTAGGACGGTCGGACGGCCGCCTGGCTAACACCCTGCACTACGTGAAAAAAGTTCGAATGATTTTCGACACGATCTCCGAATGTTTTTGATTTCGTTCCGCTTTATGTAAATGTAGTCAGCTGTTCAGAGAACTGACAATCACGTCGAATTATTTGTCGACCTGTTTTATGATCGCTGGAGAAACCAGGAAACATTATGGTAGAGCACAAGTTTTCCAAGACTTTAATCCAGTTGGATATATATAGCTCTGTGTTTTCAATTTTCATGTGATGTATGCAGCATTTGCGTAAAAAAATCTAGTGTACCTATATAAATCAACTCGCAAGCTCGCTGCGAGTACTTGCGCATCCAATCACAATGCTTGACAGTTTATTTTTATTAGATGCATGTAGCGAGCTTGCGCGTTGGTTTTTGCAATGAGTGGAAAAGAGCCTTTAAGCTGTGTACGACTTAAGTAGTCTGGAATTTTCATGCATCGATTCTTATACATCACAATTTAGATTTGTTTGGTGACTATTTCACTAACCTATGTCTACGTGCCCTATGAATTTAGATTTTACGTCTCTATAGTATTGAAATAATTTTGTAAAATAATGAGTTTTAGATAGAATTTAATATGCGTATCAAAATATACTACTTTTGTGAGTTGGTAAAAAGCGTATATCCGTAATACAAAGTATAATAGTCTGTGTACGTATATCATGCAGTAATAAGTTGCTATTCATATGGAGCTGGGCTAACCCGGTTAACTTGGATGATTCGTTTAATAAATAAAGCTCTTAATTATCGCGGCTTTGATAAACATAGTATAATGACAGTTCAAAGTTGAATTAGCTTAGTTTTGATTCCAGTAACAGTATGAAAAGTTCATTCAAAGGATTTTTTATGGTCAGAAAAAAATTCATGAAACGATTCATCCCAGCTAGGCGGGCTGGCCCGGGTCATATGAACAGACCCTGGGCCCAAATTGCCCAAGCTTCAAGTAAAATCTCACCGGCTAAATACTGAATGTGGGGGTGGGTAGGGGAGGGGGCGCTGCAGCCTCCTTCCCTCAGCTCCTCCTTCTCGTACGCCTATGAAAATACGTTTATACAAAACCAAACAAGAGTATGCTAATAAACGGTTACCAAACTAACAGAGTAGGGTTTTACATGCACCTGAAGAAGAACGAAACTCTTACATCTTACTCTTAGTACCCAGTTGTCGTGACAATTGTATATTATTTACAGATCAGTGTACCGGGGTGCACGATGCACCATTATTTTTCAAACGAAATTCAACGCCGTAAACCTTTGTCGAAGTTAATGAACATTTTAGAAACAGCAAAAGAAAAGCACAAACAAAAATAAATCTGGGAATTACATGTGTATTTCTGGCTTTCTATATAAGTTAAAAAAATTTAAAATTTTACAAAAGTACGTAGGAAAATAATTACAAAATTCTTCAGTCTATTTACAATTCTATTTACACGTATTAGTATTACACATTCCGCCAGGCATTCCGCATGACTACAGTTGCGAAAGCAATTCTAAACTCTGTAGTTTTGGAGTTGATGAGGATACTTTAACTTGGGGGTGATAGTGATATAGGAAAATAGTGGCATTTCGTTGTATCAAAAAAGTTTTAAAGCCTTAATCGGGCAAAACTATGCCTAGTGACAGTTACTGAGGCCTACTATTACCATTATACACGCATTTTCTCGATTTTATTGTTTTTGAAAACAGTTGTCAAAGGCTATATAGAGAATAAAGTCAAAATGCGTATATAATTGTTTGCTTGTAATTCAGCAAATTGTTATGTCATAGTGTTATAATTGCAATGTTATATGTTGTACGAATTTTGTATCGTTGCGTGCTATTGCCCTTATTTACCCAGGCCGACCGTCCTACTATTTAATAGACGGCCTGATAAGACGTTATCTTTAAAACAGCAATTCGCAAGTTTGGAACATTTCTCTCCTTAGACGTTGTAAGCTGCTGTTTTAACTTATCATGCAATGCATACGTTTCGATACCTTTTTGTCGTAAAGACGCTGAATTATGAGTTTTTGACAATTGATTTCGAGCGCCATGTTTTTTGGCCAACCTCGTACCCAGAGCAGTTTCCTCTTGGAGAGCAAAGACCCTGGTGGACGCTGGTCACGTGATCTGCTAAAATCTAGCAGATTTCTAATTAACTATCTTGGATTCCTTTACGACAAGCATACAAAATGCAAATTATAAATTAAACTATCAAAATAATCCAAATATCAAATGTTTATTGACCTGATCTTGGATTGCTAATTAAAAATCTGCTAGATTTTAGCAGATCATGTGACCAGCGTCTACCAGGGTCTTTGCTCCCCAAGAGAAAAGACCCTGGGTACGAGGTTGTTTTTTGGCCACATCCATGAAAAGAGATAGTTTTGACATCCTAGTTAAAGTCTGGCTATTGCATTGGTGTCGTTGGACTGTATGAATTTGATTATAACTTGTTTCTTGTTATGTTGTTCCTTAGATACGAAATTCCTTACTGATAATTTCTAAATTTCCCAACTGCATGGGAATCGAATCCAAGGTCAGTGGAGGAAATTGTCCAAGGTTTCTGGCCGCGTACCATCGCTCAGACCGAAATGAACTTTTCAGCAATTTGTTTCGGACCCATTTTGACGGTGTAAGTCTGGATACTAATTAGTTTCAGCAGGTAGTGTTTCAAGGCAGTCTGTTCGAGTTCCATGGAACACATTGTTCATTTTTGTGTTCTGCCTGATACTGGTCTTCTTTTCTTGTTTTGTTTACTTTCGCTTGGTTTCACCGGTTGATACTGGCCACGAGCAAGGATGAAATTTCCTCCCCCAGGTGACTTGGCAGAAGACTGCCGAGGTTTTTGTTTTCCATCTTTGCGCTGTGGATTCAGTTCTTCTTGAGTTTTTTCAACAACGTTCATTATCTGAGGATCAGGAGCTCGAAGTAACTCCTTTACTTCGTTTCGGTCAGTTTGAGAATCTGCGACCAAGTTTAAAACCTTGTCCAGACTTGTAAACTTCAAATCTTTCTTGCTTAGTATTTTTTTGACATCTTGACCGTCAATAAGAGGATTCATCCAGGTTGACTTGCGGACATCGGCAAGGGTAAGACCAGTTCCTTTTGGAATGTATATTTGAAATACAACTTCCACTGCTTCGGATTTTGTTAAATTCCGACCTTTGGGAGAGTCTGGAAAGAAATCAAGGAAATTCATGGAAATAAACTGTTGACATTTGAACGAAAAATGCCAATAACTAAATATCTCTTTATAATAATACCTTTTGTTACCATGGCAATGGCATCATCAACTTCTTTCTCAGATGGATGATGTCCACACTCCGCAAAATATTTTAAAATATCTTCATATCTCAGTGTACCACTCTCTGCTATCTTACCAAAGGCAATTTCGTATTCTATATAATATAAAGTAAGATTTTCTTTTTCAGATTTACTTCAGTTCAGATGACAAATCGAAAAATAGAATGGAGAGCGTAATGAATAGCATATTTCTAGATAAAGCAATTGGCCACTAAATAAATGCGCCAAATATACGGGAATGTTCCTTCTGAGAGAAAATTCGAACAAAATCGATAATTCTTTCGCAAGAATTGTTTTCTCATTTTCCCACTTTAATTTGTATGTATTGACACGCCAGCTCTTGTTATAATTGACCATTTTAAGGCCCACACAGATCGAACGCGATTCGACAACGCGACGCGAATTTTCAGTTCTTAAAACCAAATAAAACCGTCAACGGATACACATTTTACAAGATATGCAGACCAAATAGCTAAAATTGCTCAAGTGGTTCCGAATACTTGAAAAACATAGAAAAATATTAAAGTTAAATGTCATTGAAAATTCGCGTCGCGTTGCCGAATCGCGTCCGGTCTGTATGGGCCTTTACTCGGCAGGATAATGTTTCTAACACAATGTTTCCTGGCTTCATTGAGAAATATGGCGAGGAAACAATGTTGCCACAACATTATTTTGCGCCCATGACATTTTTTACGGGCGCCTGTGACACTTACTGAACTTGCATACTTACTAAACAGTCTATCAACATATTCTTGTAGTTCATGAAACTGCAATGCTGTGTGGGGATGTTCAATATTGTAACGTTTTTGGATTCTATAGACGAGATCTTGATACGATTTTATGAATTTGTTGAACGAAAATGTACGTTTCAACGCCTACAAGAAAAACATTTTTTCTACTACTCCAGCTGTAATAATGAATGTGTCAATTCAAGGCAGGGGCCGCCGAGGGGGGTAAGAGGCCCCCAAAGCAACAAAGGCCCTTAAGATTTCTTGATTGCTTAACTGAGAATATAAATCTTGACTGCATTAGTGTTGGATACTATGTAGAAAAGTATAATATATTGTAAAACACTGCTTTCCTGCCCTTTTACAATTATGACGTCAAAAGGGCCCCCTTGGAAAGTTTTGCCCCGGGCCCTGCGCAACCACTCGGCGGTGGCTCTGACTGAAGGATTAGAAAGAACAGGAATATGGGGGTCTGATCTCACGTTGGCTAGAGCCTCGTTTTCGTGATTGAAACATTGGCCGCTTTAACTTATGTCACATGCACGTCTACAGCCAAAATCACGTACTTTCCTGAATGGTGTATTCTTTAATTACGATGCGTTATACGAATTTGCAGTTACAAGATTGATTAATTTCTTGAGATCTTTGTTTGAAGAAGGTTGGGTAATTTGAAAATTAAACAATTCAACATTTGTACACGATTTGATAACTTTGATCTAACAAAATTTGTCAGTGTTAAATTCATAAACTTTGTACTGACCCTTTCTTTCACAGTTTTCAGGGACTTCCTGACAAACCATCCACGGAAATACCTGTAAATAGAGGCATTGCAAATTATGATGAGCGATACAATTCAATCTAATACAATCCTAATCCAATACAATCCTAATCCTATGCAATTGTATAACCTAAGCAGTTATACCATACCTATGAATTTACCAACGAAAAGTATTTGGGTGGGGGGCGGGGGTTACACGTGCACATTGCCCATGGGAAAAACCTCCAAAAACCAAAAGTAGTTGAGAACAATATGTGACTGGAGAGAATGAAGGAGGAAGAGAATGCCGGAAGAAGAGATTGAAGGAGAGAATGAGGATTGAAGGAGGAAGAGAATGAAGGAGTAATTTTCTTGCCCTCTAGATATTGTTTTGCAAAGTGATTTTTAGGCCAGATTATGAATCAATTAAGGTTGTCCTTTCAAAGTCGAAACTCAAAACCGCAAAACCTCTACCTCCGACCGCGTAAAGCACGATGGACATGCATACAGTATTCCGGACTGCTACGTCCCAAAAGCCGTTTTGGTATCGGTGTAAACAAAGCAATTTATAATTTACGAATTCCCGTGATTTATACCTATTTCTGATTTTATTTGCTCGTCAAACCCAATACAATAGCAAACCTGGCAGAATTCATAGGTTCTTGGTCGCTTCGGCTCATTCCAAGAGACGATGACCTCCACGTACCTTTGTATTGTTATTGCTGCTGCTCTCATTTGTGCTTTTGTTGGCTTGGGATGATTGAATATTCTGGGGAGGATTAAGAAATAATTCTCTTTAATATAGCATAACTATAAAATTAATGGACTATAGAGTAAATAACCAAATTATACGGGATCGTGATGCAAGGCCAGACCCAACGGCCAGAGCTCTCAATTTTTTCAAATACATTTGAGATAATATATTAAAACTCTGTGTAATAACATCCATCCGGAAAGCACGTCATCTTGTGGCTTTAGAGGCTCGTTTTCAGGATTGAGATGTTGGGCTTTAACTATATATAATGTCAAAAAAAGACGAAAATGAGGCTCTGTAGCCAAGACGATGTACTTTCCAAAAGGGTATATTGCATGTCACTTCCTTTTTCATGCAACATTCTTTTCCCACTGAGTATGTTTGGGAAAAACGGGCATAATTTCAAAGCTTGTTTCACATTAATAATCAGGGTCGCCGAGAGGGGGGGGAGGGGGGCAGGGAGCCCCAATATACTGAGGTGAATAATTGTTAAATAAAGTTTAAAACACCGCTTCTCACGTTTAACATTTATGACGTCATAGGGTCCCTTAGAAAACTTTATGACGTCATAGGGCCACCTTACAATGATTTGCCCCCGTATAGAGACTGATTCTAGAACATTTTTATATATACTATTAATACGTAATAGGATGGTTTCTCGTGAAATTTGGATAAAACAAGCACTCGTGAGTTTTTCAAAGATCTCAAATAGCACTCATCCTTCGGACTCGTGCTATTTTGATGCTCTTTGAAAAACTCACTGGGCAGGGTTTTTTTCAGGGATTTTTTACGGCCCCAAAAACTCGATCTTGAATTGAGTTTTGAAACTCAATCTTCTCACCAAAGTTTCAGTGCAGTAAAAATGAAGTTGTTTGAGTTAAATTCGTGACGTGTGGAAATTAGTTTTCAGTTGGAAACACGACAATTAAGAAAAAATGGCTGGAATTCATCTCACAACACAAGAAAAACTATGCATTCGCCATCTTTAACCAGTTTATAGTGTCCCTTAGTGCCCCTGTTTTAATTAACACATTCCGTCTCAACTACATTTACTGAGTACAGGTGTCAGCCCCCCGGTAGGGAGGGGGGGGGGGTGCAGCCACCCCAGCTGTTCAGCTAAACTCAATCTTCTCTGCAAAAACGGACCCAAGAGAAAATCCTGAAAAAACCCTGCTTGGGCATGTTTTATCCAAATTGCATTCGAAACCATACTATTACCTATACTAAAGCCCCGTTTACACTACGCTCAATTTTTGGTACGGCACGGATAAAATTGGTACCCGTACCACATTTTTGGTCTTGGACTACCTATTTAGCAAAGCCCCGTTTACACTACGCTCAATTTTTGGTACTGCACCATTTTTTGGTTCTTGGACTACCTAAATAGGTAGTCCAAGAACCAAAAAAGTAGTACGGGTACTACTTTTATCCGTGCCGTACCAAAAATTGAGCGTAGTGTAAACGGGGCTTAAGTGTCGTACAAAGGACCCATTATGTCTAATATTAAACCAACTTACTCATGTATCATATCTGAAGCAATGACTCCAGAAATCTGTTCTTGCTGCTTTTCAAACTGCCGGTTTTGTCTAAACACAGAAAATCACACTATGAAACAATATGAGAGTCAAAATGTTTGCGCTGAAATAAGGAAAACAATGTAACAATGGAATGCAATGCACGTGAAATTAAAGCTCCAACATAAGCAGATGCAAGCATATACTGTCAAGGACTGCACTTGCACATGCAAGCACACCTGCAAACGCATGGAAAGTACTTTCCATCGTATGGAAACGTAGTGTTAAGGCCGGTTTCCATTGCAGTCGCTTTGCCCTTGCGGGCGGAGCGGGCTTTGAAAATCTGCTCACGCGGGCGTCAAAAACAATGAACGCTCGAAAGGCCCGTTTACACGTGTTAAGACCCGCTTGCGATTTCTGGTGCGATTTTCTTCTTCTGATGGATGTGAATGAGTAAATCAGTTATGAATGTTCTGAGTATATGTAGCCTCATCTAAACATTTCTAACTCATCCACTCGTTCACATACACAAAGACAAGAACATCGCACCCACAATTGCAGCAAAAATTGCAAGTGTATATAAAACGGGCCTTTAATCGTTTGTGTCATGCGCACTAGAATGGAACTTAATTGATGAAATGAAAATACCACATTACAGCCCACATTACCCAACATATTTGAACCAGCTAAAAGTTTAGAGTTGATGAAAATGCATGAGAATTAGTGGCCAAACGCGAGCGAGAGTTGTCGTCAGCACTCGTTTGATCGGGGCTTAAGGCGGTTTTCCACTAGGCGAAATTTTTCGATCGAACCGAAATTTCTATTGTTCAAATTCAAAAGATTTCTGTTTAGTTCCATCTGAGTGCTTGTAAGACAAAAGAAAATTTCGATTCGGTCGAAAAATTTCGCCTAGTGGAAAACCGCCTTTAAGGTGGCTCCCTAGGGTTTTTTAATTTACTACACTATATAGTATTCAGGAGATTCCTGTTTCTTTACTTTAGGTGACATGAAAACGAAATTTATTGGACACATTGACAATGTTCTCCTGAACATTGCAAATTGCTACTTTTGTGTTAAAAATATGTTGTCATGGCAACAGCATGCTTAGAATAAAGCTCAAAATTTATCTTTTTCAGGTCATTTTAAAAATTCCCTTCGGTGAAATTTTTTAAAACTTTGCATAAAAAATAATACTTGTATAATGATTTTTTCCCCTCAATTTAAAAAAATTAAATCGATACGTTTCTTAGAAAATTTAAAAAACGTTAAAAATCAATATTAAAAATTTTCCCTTCGAGTTTAATTTTAAGAAAAAAGGATATTGCACTTGTTGTGCCGATATTAAAAAATGTGCAAAGTTTTAAAAAATGTTACCGAAGGAAAACAGAGAAGTTTGGGTTTAATTTTGGAATTTTTATTAGATTTTTACGCGAACAATTTAATACCCCAACTGACGTGTACATGCATTCTGCATAAAACAACAAGGCATGACTTTTTTGAAATCACAAAATATAAATTATGTTTGATATACTGTTTATAACTGTGTCGGTTAATGGTCAACTAAGCGTGGATAATACATTTAATATTGGCAAAGATATTTAGGTAATTACTGGTTATGACTTCTTGGCAGGGCCGCCGAGAGGTTGGCGGGGGCCCGGGGCAAATTTTTTTTAGGGGCCCCTATCTAAAAAATTTTTTCCCGGAAAAAATTTTTTCCGGAGAACAACCTCCCCCCCCCACCTCCCCCGTCGCCAAAAAATTTTTCGGTCAGTGTACCATTTTAGGGGTCAAAAATTTTTTCCGGAGTACAAAATTTTTCCGGACGAGTACGTTGCAATTGCTTTCGAGGGACTTTATCTCATTTTTTCATGCCAAAATTCGGTACTTAGCCCAAAAAAACAGATCTCTTGTCCTTTGCGCGGAAATATTTAACACACAAAAAAGGCTGGGGCCCAACAAAAATTTTTCAGGGGCCCCCAGCAACTCGGGGCCCGGGGCAATTTGCCCCCCCCCCCTCTCTGCGGCCCTGCTTCTTGGTATTAATTTGAAAAATGTTTGTCAACTGAAAATTCGTCCCGTGCGAGTTCGGGAAGCCTCACATATCACATTTTTTCCACGAGAAACGTCATATGTTCGTTGGGGGGGG